TAACGCAAAAATCATAAAAATTGAAAGAGTTATGATCTTTGGAAGATGATGAACAAATTCGGGGAAATTCACAAAAGACCTATAATCTTTTCAATTCTTCAACCATTTTCCAAGAATTACCAAGTCTTGCACATAAAAACAAAGTCGTAGTAGACATCTCAAATATTAATATGGAAAAATAATGGGACCAAGGAGATAAAAATTGATTGTTTTGATCATTTGAAGTCAAACCCTAAAATTCAAAGGCCTTTTGAGGAGACTTGCAATCTTTCTCAACTATTATTGATCTTCCCTTCAGAATTAGCCTTATATTTATGAAGAGAGCTTGCTAAGGACCCTTTAAAGAGAATCATGGCTTTGGAACCAATCAAATATCTCAAACAATGAGCAAGATATGTTCCTTAGAAGTCAACAAACCCTAGCTTAGAGAGTGTCAAAATGACTTGAAATCCCTTTAAACTTTTGTTGATTTTTCTTGCACAATTAGATCTTGTCATATGAAGAGAGGTTGTTATTGATGATGATAAGAATCCATATAAAAAATAACCAACTCAAAATTTTGAAATTTGAGAGAGTTATGCACTTGTGATCACTGAATCAAGCATTTTCTCAATTAGGTCAAACTTGTTGAACCAACCTTGAATATTTTGATCTTTCTTGGCAATATAAAGCATGATGAATCATAATAAGCCTTGCAATTATATTATCTTGAAGCACACTCAAATGTGGAGCTTAAGTCTCAATGAAACTTGTTGAAGAAGGTAAGGAAATAAACACATGAACATATCTCTTTGATGAATGTCAACACCAACTTTAAGGAAAGTTTGACCTAAATAAGGTGAGAGAACTCCTTGAACCACAAATCTTTGATATTATGAACATAGTCTTGAAACTTGAACTCTTGCAATCCACTAAAGAGTCATTTGATTGAGAACCAACCCTTAAACCCTAGGTTAGATGGTGACATGAATGCAGTTGTATCTCCACCTACAATATGAACATTCAAAGAAACATATATACATATTTTGATGTTAGTTTAAAGAACACATGTACAAAATACACACTTCAATGTGCTTGGTGATACCTCGAGGGCAAACTTAAAGATAGGATGAAGATAGGGAGAACCAACCTTAATGTGTGATCTTGTTATATTGATAAAAGTGAGATGATGAGAAATCTTAGGGGCAAAAATTGAGGTATAACAACTTTGAGACCTTGGTCACATAGTTGACTAATACTTATCAAATTAGCTGTTAGTCCCTTAACAAATAACACATCATCAAGACTAGGTTGTCCTATATAGTCCAACTTTCTAACACCCTTTATTTCACCTTTTGATCAATCTCCAAAAGTGACATAACTAGTGGAATGTGGTTTAATGTCCACCAGGAATTTCTTTACACCAGCCATGTATCTAGAGCAACCACTATCAAAATACCAATCCTCTCTAGAAGAGGCTCTGAGAGAAGTGTGAGATAATCCACTTATCTTTGCTTTAATATAAGTTTGTTCTCTTATGGATTGTGCAATAGGTTTGGGATAGCCATATAATATCTAACAATAGGATTTTATGTGACTAAACCTTCCACAATAATGACATCTCCATCTTTGAGTTTTTCTTCCTGCGTGATTTTGATGTCTTTGCTGATGTTAGGAAATTTTATTTGACATCCTTTATTCCTATTTTTGTTCTGGGTAAAGAAACTTCACTTCATGCCCTTTTTCCTTTGTTCCTCACAAATTGATTATCATAACCAAACCCTTCAACATTACCAACATTTTTTCCAGTTTGAAGAATCTCATCCAGCACATCAGAACTACTATTCAGCATCCTTACAAATTTAGTCATATTATCACGTTTAGTATTGAGCAATACAACCTCATCCTTCATATTAGAGATGATAGACATATGCTCCACATTTTCAGCCTGTAGTTGAGTAATGACTTTCTTTTGATCTTCTCACTATTGACACACTTCTTCACTTCTGAGGCACAACTCCTTGTATGAAGCAATAAATTCCTCAAAGGTGAGTTCTTCACAATGTGATTCTTCATCAGAATTAGAAATTTCAATCATTGCATTAACATGTTTGGCAGATTCTTCTTCAGGATCACTTTCAGAGTCCTCTTTTTACCATGATGCGGATAAACCCTTCTTCTACTTCTTGAGATAAGTGGGACATTCAGTTATTATATTTCCAAACCCTTCACATCCATAACATTGGATTCCTCTTCCTTGCTTAGTCTCATCTTTAGTTTCGGGCCTTTTCCCAAAGTCCTGATTTCTGTTGATGTCATTTTGTCTTGACTTCCAGTCCATATTCTTCATTTATTTATTGAACTTTCTTGCAAGTAACACAAGAGAATTAGACATACCTTCACATGTATCCAGATCAAATTCATCTTCTAAGTCTTTAGTATTAGAGACAAAAACAATGATTTTATTCTTTTCAGAATTTTCACTGATCCCTAATTCAAAGGTCTTCCTAGATCTCATAAGCTCATCAACCTTTATGATTTTTTTACATCTTGGGCTTCTTCAATGGTTGCCACCTTCATGTCAAACCTCTTAGGAAGATATCTGAGAATTTTCTCACAAACTTAGCTTCTAACATCTTCTCCCCCAGAGCACTTGAGGCATTGGCTATCTCAATAATGTTCATGTGAAAGTCATGAATATTCTCATCCTCCTTCATTCTTAAGTTCTCAAACTTGGTGGTAAGAAGATGAAGTCTTGACATCTTCACCTTAGAGGTTCCTTCATGAGCAGTCTTTAAAATCTCCAAGTTCTTTTAGCAACAATACAATTACTTATCAGTTTGAAGATGATTTTGTCCACTCCATTGAACAGGGCATTCAATGCTTTAGAGTTTACTTTAGCTAACTTATCATCTTCATCATTCCAGTCTCCCTCAGCCTTCAGCACATCAGTAATCTTCCCATCTCTATCTCTAGCCATTGATGGTTCCCATCCTTTGACAGCAGATTTCCAAGCCTTGTTGTCCATGGATTTAATAAAAGTCGCCATACGAGCTTTCTAGTAGTCATAGTTGGTTTCATCAAGGATGGGTGGTCTATTCACAAATCCTTCTTCTTTGGTCATTGTACCAGAAAGCATCTTCCCTAAATCTCACCTAGATATAGAGAAAGATGCCTGCTCTGATACCAATTGAATTTCTGTTATGCAGATATCAGATGTCCTAAGAGATGTCGAGACACTGATATTTGATCAACATACAGTAAACAGATTAAAACAAATTTAATAGTGTAGAAAGTAAACAACACGCATAGTTGTTAACCCAGTTCGGTGTGCAATAACACATACTTTGGGGGCTACCAAGCCAGGGACGAAATCAACTAAGTAGTATCAGTTTGTAGACCCATAATAAACTATCTCCAATTTACAATCTACTCACCTAATCACTATCCGTGCTTAACTTCTACCTAAGACTCACCTAGGTATGAGACCCTTCTCAAATCCCTTTCAATCACAACAATGATGAAAAATAATAATACTTAGAAAGTTTCAGAAGACATTCTTCAATGACACAAACTCATTCAATCTTACAAGCTTATGAATGTTTAACAGAACTTACAACTCAAAAGAGACAGTCTCACTCTTATATCAAGATGATATTAGAGAGGTTCACAATAAAACATCAACACACAAACCCTAAAAGCACACTTAACAATACGATACGTTTCACCCTATATTTAGGTTTGTATCCTTCTTTTTATAACCTTGAGTGGAATGGATTTGGGCTTCAAAATTGTAGTTGGTCAGTTGCTGAAAATCTGTAGAATCTTCTGCATAAAAATATGACTTCTATAATATGTTTCCTGAAATGTCTCAACATCTAGAGAAACAAATTAATCTTCTAAATCTATATAGAATCTCCGATTCCTCGGTCTTGGATGCCAAATATAATATCCTAATATTCCCAGAATATTGAGGATATGTTAAAACTACATAAATCCAAGAGTACATCTCTAACGGATAAGATGTCAGATAAAATGGATAGGACATCGTGTCCAACATGTTCTCTCTTCAATTTTAGAACTTTTTATTTAACATGTTGTTGCCAAATTAGTTTTACCAAAATTAAATCAAATCATAAAAATAGATTATTAACAAAGAAAGTTTCCTTGGTTATATCAAGTGTGGTATAACTGGGTTGTCATTACAAGCAAGAAAAACAAACATTTTGCTCTATCCTACTCTCATATTATAGATCCATCTCTCAACATGAATCGTAATTAGGTTGGTGGGAGAAACCAAAGTCATGTTGGTCTATCTGTACCGCTCATGTGCATCAACATGATTTGTGGAGTATTCATCAATCATATTTATGGTTATCCTGTTACAGATGATGTTTCATTATCAATAAAGTAATTGACTACAAATCTAAGGTACATAATAGTTTGAGGGCGAAGGGTGATATACACCACTATCACCTTGAAAATAACTTATGTCACTTACAAAATGTTTTTATATTGTATTCTTATGGTAGGTCAATTCAATATAAATATTACTCCAAAAATTCATACATATGTGAAGACTTGATAACTCTTTATACATAATCCATAAGATATAGTAATCATCCTATCCACATAATAATCACAATGCTTTGATGTTATCTTATTTCATAATAAAGTTTGACTATGGATACTTCAAGAAATAGTGTCATTTCATGATAAAGTCACACTTAATATTTCATTAAATGAACTAATTATTATAGTGACTTTATTATTTTAGAAAAATAAATAAAATAAAGAAATACCTTTTATTATTCATAAATAATTCGATACAAGTATCAAGTTCTAATAAAACTATTAGCTTCTAGGGATTACACCAACAATATTCTCAAAATTTATGAATATATTACAATATAAATGTAGATAATCCATCTCTTTAAACAATCACAATGATCGATGACTATGAAAAGTTATGATTATTTTCAAAAATAAGTTTTCAATAATTTTCACACAATATGATAGAATCATGGAAGTTGCCCAACTATACAACGACATAACATACATTGAAACACTGGTTGGTCCACGATACAATGAATAGTGATGTCAGCACAACAAGTAATGCGAAAAAGATAAACCCTTGAGAGACCATATGAATTTTGAAAATTTGTTATCGTTTGTGGAGTATCAGAACAATCTATAGACGCGGACCACAAAGAGTTGTCCCAGAAGATTCCTCTTCGAATATTGACCAATGGCCTAAAATCATATATTAAGAATCCATTTTCGTTGTGCTTGTAGAAAACTATCCCAGTCTATGATAAGGAAAATCGAAAAATAAACAAAATACAAAAATTAATTCCAATTTGTCTATTAATAAGAGAAAAAGGAAAAAACAAAAATTTCTTATATGAATAATATACCTCAACATCAAGAAATTGTTGCCATGGAGAAGGAATAAGAGTATCTGGATTGTCTTGGAGGAAATTGAGCAACACTGAAATATCCATGAAAATAAAAATAAGAGATGAAAAAGAAAGAAAAAGAAGAAGAAACACATATGTATCTAATATATGTCATATTTCATATACATTGGACATATTTATAGTCGATTTTTATGAATTATACAGAGAACTTTTATTATATTCTTATAAGGTAATTACAGAAGTCAAATATAATAGAATCACTGTATGCACAATATAGTAACGCTTACATTTATTATTTGGTATTTTTTTAAATATAAAATGTTGAAGTTTCATTTTAAATTATATTTATTGTTCGGTGGAAAATCTTTGATTATATTTGAAGAAAATTATGTACTTTTGAATAGGAGAAATTCAGGAATACTTCTTTAAATGAAGAACTAGAAATAAAGGATGAGTAAGGTAGGCCAATTGATATGTATTAATTGAGTTAAATGAGTATAAATCAAGGTTTTAAAAATTGGACTGATTATCAAACCGATGAGAATAATGGATAATTGGTTCACTGGTTGATTAACTGAGTCATGGATCAAACCACATGACTAAATAAGATAACTCGATTGAATAAATTCGTCTATATAACAAAACTAGATAATTACTAAACTGGTTGAACCTGATGACTATGCCTCTAAAAATCAAGACAATTATAAAATATCAAAATATCATAATTTCAAAAATTCATTCTTTAAATTCAAATTCTAAACATAGTCACCACATACAACAAAATAGTACAAAATAATTTTTTTGTTACTTTTCGCACTCTGGTTCTTAGGGGAAAATAATCCTATTAATTTAGAGCTCGTGAACCGGGATAAGAACACTGACCAAATATTGTTATTGTTACCCACTAGGAATCAAACTCGAGATTCCCCGAATGTCATCCTTAACATGAACTCCTTTACCACTAGAGCCCAATTGTTTGATTAATTTTGAATAAAGTTTAATTACAACATAAATTAAATAACAAAATTACTTGTCTAATAAATTTAACTCTAAGGAAGGAAAGTTGTTCAAAATAAATTTTGAACAAAATCTATTTATATTTTAATTTTAAATTTTTTTAATCAAAACATTATTATTTTGTCTGAGAAAAAAAACATTTAACCTGCTAATTGTTCCATAACTGCTAGTTTAGAGTTTAATTTTTAGTAAAAATATTTAATTTATATTTATGTATTAATATAAACAATTTGTCAACTATTTATCCATTAAAAGAACATGCAAACTATCAATAATATCTTTAACTTTAAATTTTCTAACACTTTTAAAATGTTAAAATAATAAAAACACAATCTCTCAATTAATTCATATTACTTCAATCAAATACTACCGAATATTATGTTTATATTTGATACTTTTTTAATTTTCACCTTTTTCTCTATTTCTCACTCTTTCACTCACCATCTCATTCTTCTTTCTCATTTTATTTTATTATTTTATCTTTTCTACCTAATTATTATATTTTTTCTTAGTTATTTTTAATTTATTAAAATGTTTAACTATAATATATGACTATCATATTAAATGTTTATTTGTGAATATATACAATATTGATATTTAGTTTTTTTAATGATAAATTTAATTAATTTTATTTATTTATTATTATTAAAAATATTAATTAATATATTTTTAAATTTTAATAAAATTAAGAATTTATTTTGTAAAATTGAATAATACTTAATACTCATAATTTTCCATCTAATAAATTATATAAAAATATCTATTCTATTTTAATTAATAACTTTTATTATTTGAGATACAAAATTTTTATTTTCAAATATCAAAATTTCTCTTTTTTTCACAAGGTACTATCAACAAAATACATATTTTATTTTAATTAACAATTATCTTTATTTGATACACAAAATTCTTTTTTTTAAATATCAATTTTTTCTTACGGATCACTATCATCTAAATATTTATTTTACTTTAATTAATAATCATTTGTATTTGAGACACAAAATTCTTATTTTATATGTCAAAATTTCTCTTTTTTCTTACGGGCCACTATCAGCAAAATATCTATTTTATTTTAATTAATAAATTGTCTTTATTTGAGATTTTTTATTTTCAAATGTTAAAATTTCTCTTTTTCTCACAGACCACTATCAGTAAAATACGTATTTTATTTTAATTAATAGTTACCATTATTTAAGACACATCATTTTTATTTTCAAATGTCAAAATTTTTATTTATTTTTCCTTTCTCCACTTTACAAGCCTTTTTTTCTTCTTTTTGTATGATTATTTAACACAATTGAGTTTATATTATTATTATTCTTTTTATAATTAAAAAAAAGTCATTTTAAATATATATATATATATATATATATATATATATATATATATATATATATATATATATATATATATATATATATATATATATATATATATATATATATATATATATATATATATATATATATATATATATATATATATATATATATATATATATATATATATATATATATATATATATATATATATATATATATATATATATATATATATATATATATATATATATATATATATATATATATATATATATATATATATATATATATATATATATATATATATATATATATATATATATATATATATATATATATATATATATATATATATATATATATATATATATATATATATATATATATATATATATATATATATATATATATATATATATATATAATACCATATTAAATAAATTTACCCATGCAAACATACTAGTATTTTACTAGTTAATATTTATAAACCAACCACTAAAAAAATTACAAATAATTAAACTCATTTTGGATATTCTTAGAAAAATTTCCACCAGCCAAACTTTTTTCATCTCCTAAGTTCATATAACTTCTAATTAAGAAAAAATAATTTAAATTAGAATAATTGAAATGTGAAATAATAAATTTTTATATATTAGTCAAAATATATGTGTATTCATGTCTATCATATGTATTTTATATAATATTTTGAGATATAGATAAGAAAATGTTAGTCTTAATAAAAGTATTGGAAATTACAAAGATTAACATTAAAAAATATAAATTAAAAATATACAGTCAAAAGAAATTAAATTTCTTTGTAACACAAATAATAAAATTTTAATTTATTAGAAGAAATCCAAATTCCACGTTAGTTAGTTAAAGATAGAGTTTGAAAAAATTTATATAAAGTGATATCAATTATCTAAAAAGTCAATTTTATAGAGATAATTTAGGTCAAAGTTTAATATTATTATAATATATAAAAAATCATCAATTCAAACCACCTCCCATTTCCTATATGAGGGACCAAGTTCAATAGTGTTAGGCATAAAAGGTATATTGAAATGTCGGTCTTATTGACAATTAGACGACTAACTATTTATATGCACATACCAAACCTGATAGAGTTGAGCATGAGTATTAGAAGAAACTCAAATTTCACATTAATTAAAAATATATCTTAATTATTTATTAAATATTATTAATGGATGGTTGTGATACAATGACCGTATAAATTTTTTTATATAATAGTATATAATAATGGATGGTTGTGATAATGTAATTTTAAATAGGTAATTCAATTCTTTTAGATAAATTATATTGTCTGTATGTTAAATTGAGAGAATTTTTTATATTGTCTGTATGTTAAATTGAGAGAATTTTTAAAATAAATGTATTTATGAAGTTTTTGTCAAAATTAAATTTATGACGTTTTGAATTTTGCCTTAAAAAAAAGAAGTTACTTCTTTTACTATTTCCAAGGTAAATCTACAATTAGTCTTTATTTTAATTTTTAAAATTAATGTATATTGATCCTATGTTTGAAAATTTTACGCATATCTCCTATTCAATTAGTTCTTATAAATTTGTATATTTTTAAAAATTGGTCTAAATAATTTCAAATCCTGTACTCCCTATTTTTTATATATTTAATTCTTTTTTGATTTTTTGAAATTTTAAATATGATTTAAATTTTAAATTATTTTTTTAATCACTTTTCTTTATTGTATGTTTATAGTTGTTGAGATATTATATCTAATCCAAGTTGTATAATTTAAATTCAAGCTCAATCAGAGTTTATTAGTCTACTTAGTGTATAAATTAGGCATTTATAAATAGTCATAGATTCAATTCAATAATAGAATTTGTATTTTTTTATTCTCTCTTTCTCTCCTCACTAAATGTGCCTCACACACTAACAAATTGATATCTAGAGCTCTGTTTAGATTCTTGATCGTTCTTTCAAGAATCACACGTCAAAGATCGTGTTTCCGGGATCATGGTTTGTTGTCAACCAATCGTTGTGAATATGAATGAGAACAATGGTATTCTGAATTCTCTTCCAACTCTTGACGACAAGAATTTGATTGGATGGAGAAAACAGATGCAATCTCTAACTGGCTTTCATGAAACTCTAGAAGTGGTTACAAATGACGTTTCTGTGTTGGTTGCAGATGCAACCGACACACAGAGAACCACTCACAACGAAGGCAAGACACATACAACCTATAACCCAAAAGAAACTTGTCTCAAGCCTCTAACAAGTCAGCCCATGCTTGTACTATACCTTGAAACCATGTTTTCACTTTTCTTCAAAATCAAGCAACAGAGACATAACTTATACTTGTGTAATTCTGACCCTCTCAAGCCTCACAACTTTTTCCTTACTTATGCACAAGTCATTTGTATCAAAACAAACACATACACAAGCCCTCAAACTCCCTAAAACTCAGAACTCTATCACAAATCACCATTGTTGCATATTCTGACCAAGAACTTCAAACTTCCATTTCACTCGTGCGTTTCTTGGCCTTTTGCTTCCAAAAGCTTCCAAATATCATACATAAGTCATCCGTGACCCGATTTCATAACTGTAACTCCATCTTCATCAACCTCCATAACTAAAAACAGAGCTCTGCAAGTTGACTTCTCCAAAACTCCTCAGCCACTTTCAGCTCAAGCCAAGTATCACATTAGCTTCCTGGGAACTTGAGGAAGCTAACCCAATCACTGGAACTCATCAAA